CCATTAAAGAATAGATGGACAAATATAAAGGTAAATGAATGAAAAGATATTTTTTTTAACTTCAGATATTTATTATGCTGACATGAGCCAGGAAATAAAGTCTGGACATAAAAAAGAATAAGATGCTAGGTCACCTGATCTGTCATGATCATGATCTTCCCGTAACGCAGCGTCTTCAGGGATTCTGGGTCACTGTAGTTTTTCTTGTACTGAAGACCGAGGATCTTGATGATATTGTTGATTTCAGCATTTTCCATAATCTGAGGAAGAAGACGACAAAAAGAAAGTTATCATCAGTTCTCCATGCTAGACTTGGTTTTTCTGACAAAACCAGTTAATGTGTTCAAGCTTTGAATGCCACAAACGTAATTCACCAAAAACCTTTAAAGGGGCAGCATTATGTGCTTTAAAGGCAATTAGTTAATTGATTATGCTATAAAATGGCATTATGTGACATTCAGTTGTTATAAAAATGCTACACATTAAAAACAACTTTGTAATTTAAACGCCTTGAAATTGGGCATCTGTCTCTTTAAAAAACCCCATGCTCTACCTACAGGAAGTCATCACAGCAGCACTCCTCTATTAACCCCTTAACAACGTTTTTACCAGTGTTGCATTGAGAAGCAGCTCCTATAATGAGCTCAGCAGATGAACAATTCCACCAGGTGTTTGCTAATTGCTGGTGGCTAGTCTGAAGGAGCAAAGTGGGGGGTTGAAGGAGAGAGAAGCTCAAAAGCTTGGAAACTGCAGCTTTGCCTTGAAGGAGGTGGTAGGTCCACCCAGCTGTTTTTCACAGCTGAGTGGTTGCCACAGGAGATTAAAGGCATGTTTTTGATGGGGGATGCAAAGCTGAAAAGAAAAGTGGATTTTACATAACACTGCCCCTTTGATTCTCTACCACCTCTGGTCTGAACTTCCTGCTGTGGAGCGCCACCTGTTTGTGAGAAGCCTCCCGGACGTTGAGCATCTTTCCCCTGAGGGGGAACACACCGAAGCGGTCCCGTCCCACCACTCCCAGCCCAGACACAGCCAGCGTCTTGGCTGAGTCTCCCTCAGTAAGGATCAGCGTGCAGCCAATGGAGTTTTTCCCACCTGTCAGAAAACGGTTAACACTGAATGGCTGCAGTTTCAGTTTTTTTTTTAAATGATAACAGAGGTGAGAGAAATTACCTGCATCGTTGGCGTCGTCCAGTTTCGGGACTCCTTTGATCTTGGTGTGCTTCACCGCTGAGCATTTCTTGTTGAGCTGAGACTGAGCTTTGAACTTCACCCAGTTCATGATGCTTTCCACGATCCCACATCCTGTGGCCTACAAGGACAAATAAACAAGGAGCGTTTAGAGACAGACGGATATCCGAGTTCTACACAAACCGCTTTGTTAAACCAGCACCTGTTTTATGAACTTGTCACCCAGTGGACAAGTGGAGCCAAACTTCTTCTGCTGTAGGGTCATATTCTCTTTCGTCTGAGAGTCAAAAGTGGGGTTTTCGATCAGGCAGTTGACAAACAGCCACATGTGGTTTTTCACCTAGAAAGACAAAGACATGTAGGAAATGAGGCTGCAGCTAATGATTATTTTAACTGATAGCTGTCAATTATTCTAAGCAGATAAAATTGGCACAATAAAAATCTCAATCACCTACATGAGCTTATTATAAACAAGGTTAGAAATACAAAAAAATAATAATAATTCAATTCCTTTTTTTTTTTTTTTAAATAAGCACTTCATTGCCCAAAATATATCAGCATTTGTTTATGGTGAATTTGATCATTTGTAGCAGTGCATTTGCATTTGCAACTAAAGAAAAATATTTTTAACAACAACAATATAGGGCTAAAAAAATACATCATGATACAAGCGTTTCACATCAGTTTATATTTATAATTATTGATTAGTTTTTTTATTTTAAATATCTGAAATACTGCCAAACTGGTGACATTCCTCTTACTGGTTTATCCAGTTTTTTAATTAATTAATTAATTTATTTTTTAAGCAGTTATGAGGCAGGATGGCAAAACCTTAAACTGCTGCTGCAGCAAGTTACTCAACAGGTTGTTGCTAGGTAACCAAAGAATGAGTGAGTTGATGCCACCAGCCTTGCATAGCGGGCCTAGAGGTTGAGCTGCCAAAGCCTTTCCTCTGCCTACATCCCCCAGAATGCTGTGTGGGTCTTGATTGGAGTTCAGCAAAAACATTGGAAATTCTATCAGATGTACAAAGCATCATCTATTGATATTGATCACGTGTCCATAGCAATGTATATTGTTACTGATTAATTGTCCAGCCCTTTATCAACATGTTTGATTTTATATATAGAAAAGAAGGAGAAACAGGAAGGACTGGGTTTAAAGTACAAGATAAAATTTGAAACAATGTGAGTCCATGGAAAACTTGACATTTTTACAAGAAAAATATTAGAACAGAAAATGTAAATCAAAATACCTGGAAAGGCTTGACAGTCACGCCGGCTTTGTTCTTCTTCTTCACCACTTCGATGAGCTTTCCAACCACCTGGTCAGCCACATAGTCTATGTGTCTGCCTCCCTGAGAGCCAAAGGAAACAATCAGCACATCTTATTAACACAAGAAATGTTTTCAGTCAGAAATGACAGAGTTCTGGAGAGCAGCCAGATCTGAACTTAGCTGCCAAAACACAGCCAGTCAGTTCAGCTGTACATTCTTACAAATAAAACAAAGAACGTCAAGAATCTTACAGCTGATGATGAAGTTATGAATATGAGGTAATACCTTTGTGGTGGCAATGCTGTTGACAAAGCTGACTTGCTGGAAGCCTTTCTCGCTCATGGTGAGACAGACCTCCCAGCGCTCATTGACCACCTCATGGACCACAGAGAGGGGACTGCCCAGCTCGTCCACCTTGTCCTTCACATACATGTCCACGTAGCTGCGAAAACCTGACACCTGGAGAGGAACAGCAGGATACAGTTTAAAAGCTTTGATCTAAGGGCATCTAGAGGCCAAAGATGGCAGAGAGAAAGATTATTTTTTTTCTTATGATTTTGTATTTATCCTTCAACTACTGACAAAAACTGAAGATACATTGCCTCATATCAAAGATACTGGACACAGTCTGATATTAAAGGAATACACAAAGGACCGTGTTTTGAAGAAATTCAACTCTATAACTCAAGGTTTCCTTTTTTCTAGAGGTGTGCCGATCGATCGGCCACCGATCATAATCGGCCGATTTCCGTGAAAAAGTGTATGATCGGTGATCGC